CTGGCAACGTAATGCCTCCAAAAAGTGTCCTCACAGGCTCAGGCGCCGCGCCTTATCTGGCAACGTAATGCCTCCAAAAAGTGTCCTCAAAGGCTCAGGCTTATGCTTACGCAGTGCTTTGTGATTCGAGTGCGGTTTCCTTCGCACCTCGCGAGCTCCCCAAAACAACACCCGACGCGTCTGCACGGCGAGCGCGCGAGGAAGCCAATCATGTGGGACGGGATCCGCCCGCACCATCTTGCAGCGGATGTGCAGTTTTCTAAAACATCGCTCGCATGTACAGTTTTTAAAGAAAATCGCTCGACAACTGTACATGAGGGGAAAGGATGGGGTGGGGGCAGAAGCGGGGAGACGGCGGAAACGTTCTGGACGTGTGGGCCAAGCACAGCGTCCAGAGGAGAAGCGGGGAGAGGAAGAGGAAGCAGCCAGTGCCGAGCCTGCGGTGCCTTCAGCCGAGCCCGGAAGGTACTCCTGCGACTCTTCGACCCTCCGAGCGGAGGGTCGGGGGGAGAAGCCGCGAGCGGCGGGGAGGGCACCGGGCCTCAGTGACCAGAGGAGGACGCGCCCCCGGCAGCCAAGGCACCCTGCTCACAATACTCACTGCAAAACCGCCTGCCCAGTGCGGGATAGCCCCGCGCGGCCAAGAAATCCCGCTGGCCCTTTGGGCTAAGGTGGTCTAGCGTCAGATCTTTCTTCCCTCCTCCAAAACTCTCTTCTCTTCGGGGAGGGGTCCCCCCCCCCTCCCCTCGCTCCCCTCCCTGAGATTTGTCTTTTGTTTGGGGGCGAGGTGGCAGAGGGTCCTTCTTCGCCCAAGATGGCTCAACGAAGGCCTCCGATGCTCCAAGATGGCCTCCAAGGCGGCCCAAGATAGCCGAAGAGTGTTCAATATAGCTTCTGACAACTTCCAAGAGGCCCGACGAGGGCCACAAGCCGCTTCCAAGTGCTCTCGGAGCTCCTTCAAGACAGCCCCAAGAGGCCAAACTCCTTTAACATCCTAGGAAACAGCCGTGATGTTTGCCTTCTCACCTTTTCCGCTTCCGATGCACTCTTGATGCCTCAAGATGGCCCAAGAGAGGCCCAATAGGGGCACAAGAGGGGCACAAGAGGCCCCCAGACGGCCTCAAGAGTGCCCCCAGACGGCCCCGAGAGCGCCCCACGAGGGCCCCAAGAGGCGATTTCGAGGGCCCCAGAAAGGGGGCTAAACGCTATGACTCCTCTCTCTTCATCGACGCCCTCCACGATAGCCCCAAGAGGCCCTCCAGGGCTCCCAAGAGGGACCCAAGAAAGCCCTAAGAGGGCCTCGAGAGGGCCCCAAGAGGGCTCCTAAACGGCCCCAAGAGCGCCCAAAAGAACCCCAAGAGCGTCCCACGAGGGCCGCGAAAAGGCATTTTGCCTCGTCCACCTCTTCTTACGGTCGCCCCCCCGCGGGCCTGCAGGGATAGCCCGAAAGAGCCCTCCAAGGCCACCCCGTTGCTCCCAGAGATCTCTCTGTTCATCCTGGTTGCCGCTTTGCTTCGCTATGTCCCGTCAACTCTCATGGGCGAGGTTTCCGAACGGACAGGTTAGGATACGCAAAGCGTCCACGATTTGCCTTGCACAATGCCGTGCTGCTGCTGTTCTGCAGCGGCCGCGGCATCATCTCGGGTCGGGCGAAAGGGGGGGACAGCAAAGGGGGGGGGGTGAGAATCAGCTCACGTAGCTGATTTTCCCGGCGCCTCCCGGCGCCGGAGGCGGCTACGTATCGAGGAATGGGCCCCTCGGTGAGGCCGAAACCAGCTGCATGCAGCAAATTTCGTAACTCCCCCTTTCCCAATCCCCCGCTCTCGTCCGGCCCGACAGGCAATCCTGCCCTCGGGTGGCGATCCTGCCGCCGCGAGCGCAGCTCGACCGAGCCCCATCACGGCGCACGCTGGGGGCCCTTGCCGCCGCGGCCTTCTCGAAAGCAGGAACCTATCGAGTACGGTCAAAGGGGGTCCTCGCGACTATGGGCCGATGAGGTTTGGCAGCCGAGGAGTCCACTATGGCCCAGCGGGCCCTCCTCCTGACCAAGAAGCAAGCGGTGTCCCACGCGTCTGTCTGGGGAATTATTTGGACCGAGAGGTCCGAGTTCCCTCACCCGCTTCACCGGCAGCAAGGTCAATCTGAGCATTACCCCCAGCCAGAAACGAGACCGTTAGTCGAGGGCTGGCGCGGACACTGATGCAATGACAGGTCTGTATGAGAGAGCGTCCATTCGACACTGATGCAATGTATACCTCGAGCTCCCAGGGCCGCGCGCATCCTAAGCCACAGGTCAGCGTCACGACCTCTGATTGACCAAGCCCTGCCCGTGTGCGCGCGCGTCATACAAAGAGCAGTGATGGATCACATGTGGAAAGGGGCTGGGCGAGGAGGAGGAACAGGGAGGGGACGGGAAGGGAGGGGATGGGGAGAATTCGAGGACGGGGGTGCGCAGAGGGCAGGCGATGGGACCGGTACAGGGGGGAACTGGGAAGGAAGAAGATGCGGCCGATCGGGCGCCTCTGCTCGGCGTCCTTGCGTTCGCCACTTGGGGTGCCCTCCTCCATCTGGAACGAAGTGATAGAGGGCATCTGCAAGGGGTTCTTCTCCACGAGGAACTCCTGGGCCAGGTGAAAATAAACAGGAGTATGACGATGAGGATGGGGTACAATGAGAAACATAAAAAGGGGAGGGCGGAGGGCGTGCGAGGATGACGAAGATCAGGACGATGAGGAACAGAGGGCAATCAAGATGATGACGATGCTAAGGAGGTGGAGCTATACCCATAGATCCGATGCGTGGTCTAGGGTCCCTCGAAGTCACGACAATTCCCCCGATGCGTTTTCGACGGCCCCAGAAGCGGATGATGAGGCTCCTGGAAACAAAATAAAAATGACATGGGTCGTGCGGACGCATGTGGACCCTGCCGCTGGGGCCGTCGGTTTAGCTCCCTATGGGGCCACGAACCGTGTGAAGGGTGTGCGCCGAAATGAGTCGTGCGGGAGCATGTGGGCCCTGCCGCGGGGACCTTCGGTTGGACTCCCTATGGGGCCTTCGGTGAGGGGTATGCTGAATTGGGCTGGGCACATAAGAAGCGGATCTGGAGCCGACCGGCGCGACCAGCGCGACCGACAAGACCGGCGTGACCGGCACGCCCGGCGCGACCAGCGCGACCGGCGCGACCTGCACCTGCAAGACTAGCACCAACGCCACGGGCGCCACCGGCGCGACCCGCGCGACCAGCGAGACCGGCATGATCGCAGCAGCACCAGCAGCAGCAGCACCGCCACCACCACCATGAGCAACACCAACAACAGCGGTACCAGCAGCAGCG